GAGAGAGAGAGAGAGAGAGAGAGTATGCGTATGTAAGTGTACATGTGGAACAGCGAAGACGAGAAGGGCGTGTGACAGAGAAAATCCGAATCGTGGCGCGAGGACACGGCGAAAATAGAATCGCGCGGCGCGGATTTAATCCGCGACTACGCTTTGACGCGGCCGGCATACGCTTGATCGAGGTTAATGCGGCGCGACGTTAATTTTCCGAAGGGGTAGAAGCAACGCGCTTTCCGCGGACGATCCGGACGTGCACGAGGATTACACGCGATTCCCCGCCACCTGCTGCGCGCACTGCACTTTTGTTTATGCAAGCCACGCGCTCGCGCCGCGGTAATCTTTCTTCTTCCCTTCGCTTTTTTTTTCTTTTATTTTCCTTTTTGAAACCGCACGCGGACAATCGATCGCGTTGCACTTTTCTCCAAATTTTTCTTCGAGACAAACGACTCGTAGAATTTCCCGAGAACTTATATAGTCTTGTTCTTATATAACTGTCATAAATATAAAACACTCTTACAAATTGACGTAAACGTTGTAATGAAAAATAAATTAAAATTTGTTTTATTAAAAATAACATTTATTTTTATAACAATTTTTAATTTTGTTAATCCTCCTTTGGCTTTTATTATTATCTTTTCCAAGAAGATGCAATAATCGAGAATATTTTTTTATACTTATGGTCGAGGCTATATTTACGCGCGAAAATTTGCGAGATAGAATCAGGGCTTTGTGGATTTATCACGTATTCTATGCGTATTATGGGTTGTTACGTAACGTAACAAAAGAGGAAATTTAACGAAACTGAATTTCCCAAGGTAAAACTTTCGTGCATGACACTTTGATAATTCTCACCGGGCTCGACACGAACTTGAGTATAAGTTCACGCGTTTTGGAGCAAACTTCACTCTCTGCACGAAGAAAACAAATAATTTTTTTTTTCCGTTCTATTTACGTGTTGCGTCGTAAAACAAGACTTATTCACGTGAACACTAAATAAGAAATGACACGCTCAAGAACGGAGTAAAATCTTTAGGATCTCTCAACACAATAGACACTCTAGTTTCTACGTTTCAAATACGTTGATCTTCGACGTACCGCTTTTCTCACTTTACTTTCCAGCGAGCAAATAGAGGATAGAGAAAATAATACATGACAGCACTCGGCGAGTGAGCACTTCCTAAGTGCTCTATATAGAACCCTCGGTAAGATTACAAGTTCTTCGGACCGTATCGGTAACCAACATGACACGTTGTCTGCGGTCACCGGAAGCGCATGAATCACACAGCACACTCACCACGAAGTAGTGGTTCCACCGAGCAGGATACGTCGGTCCCGGCGTGCCGTCACCGCCGACACCTCAGCGCCGATCCTCGTCCAGCAGTTACGACAGGAGCAACGCGGCGTTGGGACGGCGAGCATTGGGACGCGCCTCGGATGCGGAATTCTCGGCAGTCTCGACACCATATCACCACGTCATCGCCACGACGAACCAAGTAATACGCGCAAAGTAATACGACTTAACGAGGGGGAGAGTAAAGAATGAAGTAACTGGGGAAATGAGGGGACGGGGGGACAACAGCTCTCACCATTCACTTAACTATTTCTTTCTTTTATCTCGTGGTCCTTTCAGTGTGGTCACTACTACTTCCACCGCTCGAAACGTTTGCACCCTCGCTCGACCGTCATCCGTCACCGCGTGATGACGCGCATCACCGCAACGCTTGTCACGCACCCCCGATTGTCAACTGACGCGCTCCCGCTGAGCTTCTGATCGGTTCACCACGCAGGGAGATGAGGAGTCACGATGTCGCGACAGCGTGCATGGTTTGCCAACGGAACGGAGCGAAAGCGAAGACCCACCCGCAACGGCAGCACGTGGCGCACTGACGGCTCCGCGGTCATCTTCCCCACCTCTGCCCCCTCCATCGTAGCGTTGTCTGCCCCTACTCGCTCCCCTCCCCGCGGCCCTGAACTGTCCCCACCACCACTCGCGATTCTAGCGGGGCGCCGCGCCGTGCCGTGTTTCTCCCGTCCCCACCATCGCCCATTCCACCCACGCCCCCATCCCACTCTTCGGAGTTCCCGAGAGTCTTTCTTCCTCGCGAGTCGCCCTTCTCGTCTTCTGTGGCGATGTGTCTCGAGGCTGATTTCTTTTTTTCTTTCTCCTTCTCCCTTTCGCTCTATCTCATTCTCTCTCTTCCCCAACCCTTCAAATCTTTCTACCCCGATCCGTCTCGTCTCACTCATTCGCATCTTCTGTACGTCCAACCGTCCACAATTTCTTCGGAATGACACGCGTTCGATGTGTCCCTCTTCCAATTATTTCGAAGATCTCGACGCAGACGCTATATCGCAAAGTGTAAAAAAAAAGATGCAATGTGTAAAAGTGATGTGATAATTCATTCGCTAAAGTTTGGATAACTTCGAGTAACTATTTGAGGAGAACAATTATGAGGTAAAATGAAAATAATGTTAGAAGAGAAATTTTTTTGTACCCCTGAATTAAATATTAATTATTTTGATAATAATTATTTAATGCAGTATTTTAGAATGCTTACATTAGCATTACTAAATGGATGATTAATTTAATTTGTGATGTTATTACTTCAAATTCAGTTTGCGATTATATTTAAAGTCTGACAGTAATCGGCGCGCAATTCATATAAATTATAACTGAAAAATGTATGATTAAAATTTATTTATAAACATTATTAGGCATCAAGATCTAGATTGTATTGATCCTTCTTTACTTATTTGATTTATTCATATTTCTGTCTAGTTTATTGATCTTGATGTTATTATCACACTTGTGTGACTTTCAATAAAAAATTTATTCTCTTTCATTTTTTATTTATTTTAGTACCTATTTCTACTTGTTGGATTATTCGCTAATAATAATAATCAAATTACTGTAAAATATATACGAGTATATAAGGAATTCCATTTTTTCTCTTTGTGTACTTTCGTAGTTTTCACGGGAAAAATGATTTTGCACAAATATTTAAAAAATTTAGCCAGATACAGATCTGAAAATAATTTTGTTGGCCATCAAAATAATTATGCAGGATACTCAAGCATGATGAGTAATGTTGCAAAAAGTTTTGACATTTTAACATTCAGCATCATACATAATTATCTTAATGCTCTACAAAATTATTTTCACAAACTCATTTTCAGATCTGCATCTAACTAAATTTTTGGATACTTTAGCTTTAGTAAAATCATTTTTTTTTCATGTTACTTTCTTTTTTCGATTCTTTCTAAAAATTCCGAAAGCATTAAACTTACAAACGAATACTCTACATCATTTACGAAACAAATATATTTCGCGTTCGTTACACGGTGCTCTTTGATACTCCACATGTAAAATGATTCAGTAGGAACGCTCCCTTGGCTGACAGTGATGCAGCGGCTTCTACTTAACCGACTTCCCGCTTCCCATAACATTTAGCTGCACAAAGTGCAGCCTCGTGTTTCTCTACTTGGATTTTTATCTGTACGATCGAACATTGATCGAATATCTCGATCTCTCTCCCTCCGAAATCAACTCCTCGTGCGATTGGCGGTGATTACGTTTCGACGCGTAAAACGTGCGCCCGTGTCGCGATTATGTAATCCTTTTATAATGATCTCATTAAAGTTAGGCTGGTTAAGAGTAGAATTTACAAACAGTAATACGATTTACTTAATAATGATTTATTTCGCGCTTATGACGCCGTTTGTAGCCGTAAATTTCCTAACGCAGACATTTATTGCTCCGGTGTAACCCGAGCCTATATACGATCTTCTCGTTGCTTCCGAGATCTAGCGGTACTAGCTATATTACTGCATTTTTACATGATGAATTAAACAATCGACTTGCCGTCGGCATTGCGTCAAGTTGTTCGAAACACTTTGTGTAATCCCATTTGAATTTTTTTGTTGACCAATCAGCGGATAATCGACAATGGCTGAAAGCGATCGCAAGATTATCAAAATTGAAAAATCATGATGTACCAGGTATAACATTGCGCATAATGACGGCAGAATATAATTTGGGACCAATTTGTAATTGGAGGTAAATTAATAGCGATTTTATATTAAGCTTATACAATTTAGGACTAATTTCTTATTAATCATAAATATCGTTATTATCTTGGATAACTACACATCCATAGGAATATTATATCTGATATTCTTATATTATGAGAAAAATCATAGATGTTATGTGTATAGACTGTATATTCCTATGAAATTAATTGTCACTATCGGTTTAGAAAGGATGAAGTTTCCATTCATTCCGCTCTTTCTCTCTCTCTCTCTCTCTCTCTCTCTCTCTCTCTCTCTCTCTCTCTCTCTCTCTATTTCTTTCTGAAATATCAAATTGAAGAGAGATGTTGATATGATTCAGTAGATTTGTTTCTTATTCTTGCATTAAATTGCACTTTATTGTTCGCCAATTTAAAGACAGTTAATTTGATGTATCATCATCATTCGGAATCATCCGGTATCGATGACCAATCGAGAAGGCCAACCAAATCCATCCTCCGATCCCTATCCCAACATTCCCAACCCTTGTTAGCGCGAGAATGTAAATCAACTGGTAATAACGTGGCAGCTGGGGATTAAGCGACCCGCGGAGACAAGCGGAGGCACAGCGAGAAGGTACGAAGTATTGTCGACACGACGACGACGACGACGACGACGACGACGACGACGACGTCGTCGACGGCGACGGCGACGGCAGAAGTAGGTGGAAGCGGAGAAAAGGACGCCGGCCTCTTCCCCTTGTCCCGGAGCATTAGGAGTTCGGTAATAAATCTCGTTGAAAAAACGCTCGCGCGCACTCTCACACACGCGTGTACGTGCACGCTCGCGTACCGGAGGTTCTCGCAGGCACGTCTACTCTCTTCCTCGCGTCTATCTCGTTCGGCTCGTACATCTGTGCTCTCCCGCCGCAGTCGCAACGAGAAAGAGAAAGACAGAAGGGTGATCGAAAGACCGAAAAGGGACAAGAGAGACGAGGGACGAGGCTCCGTCTATCTTTCCTTTTCTCTCTCCCTCTCTTTCTCTGCACAGTGTACGGCTTAGATCGTCTCTTCGCCCCGCGGCAACCCTGTCGCGCACCGACGAGGTCGGCATGATCTATGCACGCCATGCGGAGGCGAGTGTCACGGTTTGCTTGATGCATTGGTCCTCACTTGACCCCTTACTCCCTCCCTCCCCTCCTTCCGTTCCGCCACCCTCCGCTCCGCACCATTCTTCCTCCTGTCGTTCCGCGGCTACCCGCTCTTACCCCTTACCTTACCTTGCTACTACCAGTATCCAACCCTCTCATCGTCATCGACCGCGGTGAAAGCGACGCGGTTTCTCGTGGAGAAACCAAGTACACCCACGTGCACATAAGTCAGGCATGACAAGATGAGAGGCCTGTTGAAGGATGACGGAAAGAAGAGAATGGTGCGTTACGCGTCACGTAGCAGAGTGCATCCGCAGACGCGATGCATGCGGTGAGAGGACAATAGTTGTTTCTTGATTTATAAGAGAATGTAACTCAAGAAACAATTGATTCAAAACTGAACATGACAAACCATTTGATTAGTGAGAGCTTATATTGTAAAAACACAAAATATCTTTGAATATAATAGCATAATAAATAATTGTAGTTTTTGAATATATAATCGAACGGCTTAAGAGCTATCTAGTAGAAGAGCTTCTATTAGAAAATAGAAATGAAGGAAAATTAAGCAACATAAAATAATATTTGTAACACATTATCGTACAATCACAATATAGTACAATCATAATATATAATGAGATTTTCAATGTGTTGTTATAAATTGAGATATATGTATTTACAAATTATGTTAAGAAAACAAATTTAATGAAAAGAAACAAAACTTTCCTTATGTAAATTAACTTTGATATCAGATCCTTTTCACATAATTAAATTTTTAAAGGCATTTGCTTTTGTATTTACACAACTTAAGTTGATAATTTCATCATTCTTTCGATTCGTGAAAATCGTTTGCAAAAACTTTGACATCGAGATTTCAACGTTTTCCACCACATTAGAGTCGAAAGATCTTCAGGAGGCGGTTTTCAGTTTTCGGCAGACTGAGAGGTCGGAAGGATAGGACAGCCCGGGAAAGAGACCCAGAGGGAGGATTCGACGCGAATAGTACGACGATGGTTACATTCTATGGATCAGAGAGCTCGATAGCGTGCCGAAGTCGAGGCGAACGGCAATAAATCCATTTTTCGTGAAGGGTCGGTCGAGGGGCGAGTGTGCGCCGGGGTCTGATTAGCAGCCTGACTCGGCCGTACTGGATGACAGCCGGTGAGTTATAATATTGCCCATCCATCTATTTATCTACTCCATCGTCCCCTCTCTCTCTCGCTCACTCACTCCTTGTATCTTTGCCCCGCATCGCCCTTTTCGCGGCCGCCCCTTCCCCTCTTTCTAGTCCTTCTCCCCCGATGCGTAAACGCTCCAAACGTCGCTCGAATATTGGAAACGGTCTGTATGATCTCGCGTATATTTCAAAGAAAAGGATAAATATAAATTAACCAGCGTCGTGCTACACGAGGGTGAGGATGCTCAGGACAAAGGGATCGATTCCTGGCCACCCTGATCTCGCGGCGATTCGCTGATCCTCAATGAAGAGAAAGTGGGGAGGGTGATTGGGACGGCAATTTGTCGTACACGTGGATTTGCGTGATAGCTGACACGTAAGAGTGATGATTAAACTGCATCGTGTTTGTATTAGTTCGCACAAGACATTTTTTATATTTCGAGTTCTATTCAGAATTACGAAATCGATTACTTTTAATTAAATTAGCACAACGCAATTATGTTTACAAATTCATTTGAGAAACAAAACCTTTATTTTTATTTTCAAATTCTATTCTACAGGGCCATTTAATATCCGATGACAGTTATACTTTCACAATGAGATCTTTTGTCAAGTCCTTCGTTAAGGAACCGGCTTGAAATTTGCCAAGATACACATCTCTTTCTCCCCTTCTTTTTCTCCTTCAAAAAACACAACATACTACATATATCACGTTCAAAGAGCCATTGAAAATCATGCTGCTCTCATGTGGCAATAAGAAATCGTGGCACAACAATAACGCTTCAAGTAATGCTTAAGTCACCGCGGTACATGGACCGATGAGAGGTGCGGGGTTACGGTAATCAAATATTCACGGCGTTTGGCTGTCCCATCGTTCCGCCATAA